CGCTCGGCTTTGCGCCACGTTCGCGAAGATAAGCTTCGACACTTTCGCACGCGCAGCGGCCTTCACTGCCCCAAGCGTGGAAAATGCCCCCAAAATACGTCAACGGACGCGGCGCAAAACCCTAAGCGAGGCGGCCGTAAAGACCACGAGCAGCTGAAGTTTGACACTCACAATGAGACAGCCCGTACTGTCAGATGCGCAAAGTCAATTCGAAAAGTTATTCGAAAAAACATGAAAAAAAAGGATAAACGAACCACTCATATTTGCACCAGTGAAAATTCCAGTGACTGCTGGGAAGTAGATGGCAAGAAGCAACCAAAATGATGTTTGCACATCCTAGGAATGATACAAAAAATAAGAAATGAAAAAAAAACAGGTAACTCTCTCTTGTGATGCCAAAACTAACCTGGAACACATCACGGTTCAAATCGGCTTTGTCTTCAACAGTGGTGTAGAATGCTCCTACATAAGCGGAGCCAAAGTTGTCTAGAACATTCTGGATTTGGTAAGAAAAGAAAAAAAATCGGCTCCAGACATACCAACAAAAGCGTTGCTTTTGAATCCGGGGAAACCATTGATGCATCTAATATTTGGAAAAGAGTCTACTGAGCAGTTTTCAGCCGGGCAAAGATTCTTGTACAAGAAAGGATTGCTGAAAGAGGCCCCTTACCACTTCACTAACATCATCAAAAATATTTTCGAAAAAAATTCAAAACACTACAAGAAAAAACAAGATGAGCCGATTTTATCCAAGAAACAAACCTTATGTTACAGTAATTACAGATGTCATAAATAGTCCCATTGCCTTCTGGCATCAAAAATCTCGACTGCAATAGATGATCCCCGTACATGCATACCCTAAATTTAGAGTTCAGAGTTTTATCACAAATCGAAGCGCATGCGTACTTTAGTCCTGAATCTGGGCTCAATGTTTTCGCAATTCCACCCGCGTAGCATGCAAGGATAGAGATGATCACACAGATGAGTGAAACCTAAGAAACAACACTTATTCTGGTGCATGACCGTACAACAAAAATTAAAAATTCAGTTTACGCACGGGTGCAAGCATCTGTACAAATTTCACTCCCATAGCGACAATAAGGAATTCGAGAAGAAGAAGTACGGTTGAGTAGAAGCGAAGGTTGTGTGTCATCATGCCAAATACTCCTGTGAGTCAAAATTTTTAGATAAATTTCCTTTTTTAAAAATAGAATAAACCCAACCTGTTTGAGTGTGGACCTCTGGCCCACCGATGGTCAATCCAGGGAAGATATATAGCTAAATAAGGAACAAATTTAGTAAATAAAGAATTTTAGAAGGAGGAAAAAACTCTACCAGTAAGATTTCCACACCACCGACTAAGTACATGGATGCAGCAACCGTATTTGCTAAGTAGAATAAAAACCCGACAGCTGATCCAAATTCCGGTCCGAGATTTCTTGAAATCATAAAATATGCACCTCCACTTTCAACAACACCATTTGTTGCGACAGCGGATAAGGAGATGCATGTAAGGAATGTCTAAAATATTCATAACTCCTTCCAAAAAAAAAAGAAAAAATGGAAAGAATAAATATAAAGTATTTGGTATTATTCCACATTAGTTGACCCATAAAAT